CGACTCGAGTTAGTAGCGGAATAGTTTTGGCTCTACAGACTTGCTGGGCCATTGGGCCTCTTCTGTACTGTATGATCCTATAATCCTCCTCCTCCTGAGTAAAGACAGATGTGAAGTACTCATTTAACACGCTGCCAACATCCTCTAGCTCCACACAGATTGCCCCCTTGACCCCTAATGGCCTGACTCTTCCCCGGTTATGCTCTTTCCTTGATATCCTTGTAGAATATCTTGGGATTCTCCCTAATCTTCCCTGCCAGTGTTTTATTACGCCCGACTTTGCTGTCCTCATGTCTTTCTTATGTTTCCCCCTTGTACTTTCTATTCTCCAGGGCCTCCATCACTTTCCTCACTTTGTACCTGTTAAAAGCTTCTCTTTCCCTTCTTATTCAGTCCTGAAATTTCATAGGCATCCAGAGTTCTCTGGGCTTATTATAGAGTCAGAGTTATAGAGGTTTACAGTGGAAAGAAAGGCCCTTCAGCCCATTGAGTCTGCACCAGTCATAGACAACTAAGTAGTTATTGTAATTTTCCAGCACTTGGCCCATAGCCCTTTATGCCTCTGGATCGCAAGGGTCCATCAGAATATTTCTTAAATGCTCCTACATTTCCCCCAGAGGGAACGTGTTTCACCTAATTCCTTTTTGAACAACCCCACTGTTCTGCTGAAGTTTACTCACACATAGCTGTCTAAGGCTGACCCTGCCTTATTTTAAAACAATTTGCCTTTCTCAACCCACAGCCGTTTTTCGCAGACAATCTGTTTTTTTTTCTCTCTGCTGCCTCACAGCACCAGGGAACTGGGTTCGATTGTAGCCTTGGGCGCCTGTGTGGAGTTTGTACAATCTTCCCCGTGTCTGTGTGGGTTTCCTCCAGGTTCTCCAGTTTCCTCCCACAGTCCAAAGATGTGCAAGTTAGATGGATTGATAATGCTAAATAACCCTGTAAAGTCCAAGGATGTGCAGGCTAGTTGAATTAGCCATGGGAAATGTGGATTTATGGGGATAGGGTGGAAACTGGATTTAGGTGAGATGCTTTTCGGAGCAACGGTGCAGACCAGATTCGCCGTATGGCCTCTTTCTGCGCTGTCGGGATTCTGTGAATTAGATCCAGCACTGCATTTTCACATGTTGGAGCTACTACATGCTGATATAAAAAAACACTCCTGAGTACATTTGAATAAATCTCCCCCTCTAAACTGTTTACACCATGACTACACCAATTAATGCTGGCGAAGTTGAAATTCTGTAATCTAACTACTAGGTTGTTCTTTTTACATACCTCAGTGAATTGTCTGCATTATTCATTTCATTTCTCTTCCGATGCTGAGGTTATATTGACTCTCAAGTTTTTAATTCCTTGTAACTTATTCTGCACACCCTTAACATTAACTGATTCTCTGTCCTCAGATACTGCCTGACCTGTTGCGATTTTCCAGCATTTTCTGTTTATTTCAGACTTGCAGCAGCTGCAGTATTTTGCTGCTCTTTTGATAATAAGACCATAAGACGTAGGAGCAGAAATTAGGCCATTCAGCCCATCAAGTCTGCTCCACCATTCAATCATGGCTGATGTGTTCCTCAACCCCATCTCGGCCTTGCTCCCAGAACCAAGTCTAGAAACACAGACGGATGAATTAAAAGCCCATTTCTGACAGGGTGGGTGTTGGTCACAGATTGTGGCCTATTGGTTCCTATTAATTGAGTCACACAAAATCACTGAATGATTACAATGGAGAAGGAGGCTACTCTGTCCATTGTGTCTGTGCTGGCCTTTCTCCAAAAACAAATCAGCGATTCCTATTATTTGCCCTTTTCTTTCCTCTTCAGGGGCTTTTCTGGTTAGCTTTTGAATGTCTTTGTTGAATCAGATTGAGCTGGAGTGGTGATGGCGGAGAAGCTGCTGAGTTTACCCTGAGTCCTTTCAAAGCCAGCTGGGCCCCGCAATTTCCAGTGTGAAGTTCTCAAAGGAGCTGGACTCGAGGAAGAACGGGTTGCTTAAAAAAACACTCTCCAGACAATGTATAACAAAAAAAATGGCTTGGCGAACAAATATTCTGCAGTTGCTGCAGAAACATGGGTGTTAACTTTCCAAAATGCATTAGATTCTGGAAAGTTTCTGTCTCACTGCAAAATAGCAGATACAACCCCTGTATTAAAGAGGTGAGGAAGGCAGACAACAGGAAACTATAGGCCAGTTAGGTTGATCTGTCATGTAGGGGATGAGAATCAATTATTTGGTGGTATTATCACCAGACTATTAATCCGGGGACCTGGGTTCAGATCCTGCCATGGCAGATGGTAGAATTTGAATTGAATAAAACTCTGGTTTTAAGTCCAACGATGGTCATGTTACGAATGTGGGCAGTTACGAATGTCGACGAATGCTGGCCCAGCCAGCGACGCCCACTACCTCTGCATGAATTTAAAAAAACTGAAGAAATAAAAGTAAACAATAGGATTTACATGCATTTAGAAAGATAAGGACTGACTAGGGAGAGTCAACATGGCTTTGTGCATGGGAAATCGTGTCTCAGTAAGTTGGTTGTGTTTTTTTGAAAATGTGGAAAAGAAGATTGAAGGCTGGGCGGTAGACATTGTCTATATGGACTTCAGCAAAATGCTCGACAAGGTTCTGCATAGTAAACTGGTTAGCAAGGTTAGATCATATTGGAATACAGGAAGACCTAGCCAGTTGAATACAAATTTGGATTCAAATGAGAAACAGAGGGTGGTGGTGGAGGGTTGTCTTTTGAACTGGAGGCCTGTGACCAGGTGGTGTGCCGTAAGGATCAATGCTGAGTCCACTGCTTTTTGTAATTATACAAATGATTTGGATGTGACAGTATGGTTAGTAAGTTTGCAGATGACACCAACATTGGTGACGTAGTGGACAGTAAAGAAGGCTATCTTCACTGAGTAGTTTGGGATCTTGATCAATGGGCTGAGGAGTGGAAGATGGAGTTTAGTTTAGATAAATGTGAGGTGTTGCATTTCGATAAGGCCAATCAGGGCAGTGTTTAAACAGTTAATGGTAAGGCCCTGGGGGGTGTTGCTGAACAAGGGGACTTAGGGTTGCAGGCGCATAGTTCCTTGAAAGCGGAGTTGTAGGTAGACAGGATGGTGAAGAAGGCATTTGGGACGCTTGCCTTCATTTGTCACTGCATTGAGTTATAGGAGTTGAGATGTCATGTTGCGACTGTACAGGACATAGTTAGAATACTGTATTCAGTTCAGGTCTCCCTGCTATGGGAAAGAAGTTGTGAATCCTGAAGGGGTTCAGAAACGATATACAGGGATATTGCCGGTATTGGAGGGTTTGAGCTGTGGAGTGGGAATGAAAAGGCTGGGGTTTTTCTTCCCTGGAGCGTTGGAGGTTGAGTTGTGAGGCTTACCGCATCAACTGCCCTCCCAGGCAGTGCATTCCAGACCTGCACCACCCTTTAGGTGAAAAATGTTTTCCTCCATTCCCCTGTAAAACTCTTGCCTTTCACTGCAAAATGATGCCCAGTGTTATTCAACCTTCAACTAAGGGAACAATTACTTCATTGTGTTTCTCCAATTTAGTGGAATTCTTTGAGGAGTGACATGTGCCATGTGCTTTGGATAAAGGGAGCCTGATGATAGATTGTACTTGGCTTTCCTGAAGGCATTTCACAAGGTACCATGGAGAAGGTGTCTGTTCAGAGAGGGAGCTACTGGTTTAGTGGTACATACCAGCCTGGAAACTGGATTGGCTGGCTGGCAGAAAACCGAGAATATACATAAATGGGTCTGTTTCAGATTGTCAGAATGTGATGAGTAGGGAGCCACAGGGTTCTGCTCAACCAAAACCTTTTGCAGTTTATATCAATGACTTGGATGAGGGGAATGAAGTCATGGTAGCTGCACTTTGTGTTGATACAAAGCTATCAGGAAAGGTTGCTGTGAAGAAGACTTAATTTCTCTACAATAGTCTGCAGCCTTTTTGAATGAATATTTCAGGTGAGCTATGATATAGCAAAATGTGAAATTGTTCACTCCAGGGGAAAAACGAGCAAAGAAAATCAGTCCAGAGGATAGGTGCAGAATCTTGTGGGGCTGAGATATCTAGGGGGTCTGGTGTGTGATGCACAAAACATGGGTATATAGTTAACAACAAGTGATGAAGAAGGCTCATGGAATGTTATTGTTTATCACAAGTGGAATCAAACAGAAAAGTAAGGAGTTGATGATTCAGTTGTACAGGGCATAAGTGAAACCACACCTCCACAACTGTGTGCAGTTTTGGTCTCCTTATTGAAGGAAGGGTGTAAATGCGGTGGAGGTTCAATAGACTGATATCTGAATGAGTGGGTTATCTTAGGATATTTTGGACAGCCTGGGCTTGTATGCTCACACGTTCAGAAAAGTGAGGTGTGATTTGACTCATGCCTGAATGGGTTTTGACGAGGTGAACGTGGAGATATTTTCTCCTGAGGGTAAGTCCAGAATGGGGAAGACTATTCCAAAACGAAGACTCCTCGTTTTAAAACAGAGATAAGTTCCTCATTCAAGATGAGTGTGATTTTGGAACTCTCTGCCTCAAAAGGCGGTCGAGACTGGGTCATTGAACGTTTTTAAGGCAGAGGTGGATAGATTCTTGTTCAACCAGGGAATCAAAAGTTATTGGGTGTAGCTGGAAATTCAAAACATGAACTCATCGGTATTGGTCTTATTGAATGATGGAGCAGGCAGGAGGGCCCGATAGTTCATATGTTGGCCTTTGTATTCATACATTTGACATGGAGCCAAATGAGATACTGGGACAGATGCATGACTTTGTATTTTTTATGAGGAGACTCTCACTTCCATTATTTCTGTTCTAAATCAATTCCACAGGATATTAGAAGGAGAGGATTTACAGTCGGGAAACTGCAACTGATCAGGATTTCACAGAGTGGCCCAATTCGGTGTAACCTGAATCTCATTGGATTTTGAACATGGAAGGAGAAAACACCATTGACAGCAGTGAGAAACTGTATGTGTGTAGTGTGTGTGCACGAGCGTTCAACCGATCATCTGACCTCTCGAAACATAAACGGAGTCACAAAGAGAAACTGTGGAAATGGATTCAGATCCCCGACTGAACTGGAAACTCATCGGCGCAGTCACACTGGGGAGAAACCATTCTCCTGCTCTGAATGTGGCAAGGGATTCGGTCAGAAATCCCACCTCCAGAGACACCAGCGAGTTCATACTGGGGAGAGACCATTCTCCTGCTCCGAGTGTGGGCAGGGATTCACTAATTCCTCCAACTTGCTGATACACCAGCGAGTTCACACTGGGGAGAGGCCGTTCATCTGCTGTACGTGCGGCAAGGGATTCACTTTGGCTTCCAGCCTCCAGACACATCAACGAATTCACACCGGGGAGAGACCATTCACCAGCTCCTAGTGTGGGATGGGGATTCTCCGACACATCCAGCTTGATGACACATCGGTGAGTTCACACTGATGAGAGTGTTTTCCTGTTCCCACTGCAGGATGGTGTTGAGGCGTTTATCTGAACTGACTGTACATCAGCAGACTGCCTGTGAATAAGCTGAGTGAGGGGATTCACTGAATCTGCCACCTTGTGGACAGTTCACACTGGGGAGAGGCTGACTCCCCCTGCACCAAGTGAGGGACATATTCACTCCGTCATCCAGCCTGCTGAAACACTAGTGAGGACATTGTGTGAAGAATCTGTTCACGTGCTGAATGTGGAAAAGCATTCACTCAGTCATCCAGCCAACTGAGAAACCATCGGGTTTGCACAGGGGAGAAGCCTTTACAATGTCCAAACTGAACGAAGTATTTGAAAAGTTCCTGGGAGCTGACCTCCCATGTACTTGTTCACATTGACGTGAGTCCATGTCAGATGCTCTTACTGCAGGACTGATTTCAGGTGAGGAACTCACCCCACTCTACAGCAGTGAGTTCACACTGGGGAAAGGATGTTCACCTTCTCTGTGTCGGGGAAGGGATTCATTTGAGTTATGGAGACAGCTGAAATGCCAGTGAGTTCCTGAGTAACTACAGTGATGAAAGATGTATAATTTATATAAATTCCAGTCTTGGAAGTTGGCTTTTACGATGGAGACACTGAAAGTTTTCTTTAAAATAAAAAATGAGTCTTTGTGAAACAGTGACCTTCCTCCAGCACTGCTCAGAAAGCAAGTGGCTGTGGAGTTAATGGGAAATTGTTTAGACTCTGTTGATTTACAACATGAGCAAACATCAAAGGACATTATCTTGTTTTCAGTTCAGAACAATCAAGGATTGATTTTAGTTTATAAACCCAGGGTTAGAAGGTATTTTATTCATTTTGGAGATCTGACTGTGATCAGAATCAAGTTTAGTCTCTACTATATAGAGCTCAGAATAATTCGGTGGGAAAAGGAACAAAAAGTCAGCCGAGTAGAACTTCCGAACCAAGAGAGTTTGGTTTGAGCTCTGAAGGTATTAAAAGCAGAAAATGTTTATTCTGAGATTTGAGAGTATTCATGAAAGAAAATTCTATAGTTCACAGGAAAAGTTTGGGCCAAACCAGTTCAGATATAACTTAGAGATTTAATATTGGGTGTAATTTCTCTGGATTAAATTCTGTGTAAATTGATGTGGGCACACAGTTGCAGCAGGTAATCAGGAAGGCTTATGGAACATTGGCACTTTATTTCAAGGGGGTTGGAGTTTTGGAGTTGGGATGTTTTACTGCAACTGTACAAGGTGCTGGTGAGACCACATGTCGAATGCTGAGAATAGTTTTGGTCCCCTTTTAGGGAAGGAAAGGTATCATTTCATTTAAGGTAGTTCAGAGAATGTTCTCCAGGATGTTCCCTTGTCCAGAGGGACTGTCGTATGAGCAAAGGCTAAACTTGTTGGGAGTCTACTCACGAGTTCAGAAGAATGAGAAGTGATGAAACATATTAGATGAGGCTTGAAAGGATTTTTCACCTCATGGAAGAATCTCAGACCAAAGAGCATAGTCTCAGAATATAGGGCCACCACCAATTTAAGACTGAGATGAGGAGGAATTTCTTCTGTCAACAGTTGAGAGCCTCTGGAACTCGTTGCCACGGAACAGTGAGGCAAAGTGGGGCCTTGTGTAAATTGAAGGCTGACATAGTTTCTTGATGAAGGATTATGGGGAAATCACAGAAAAGCAACCATGAAGAATGTCAGATCAGCTCTGATCCTGTAGAAATGGCAGAGCAGAGCAGGCTCAAGCGGCCGAATGGTGCTGTTGGGAACATTGTTTTTCTCTCTGTTTTTGTCTTGTGTAATAAACAATCTGTTTTTTGCTTAAAAAATCTCTCAGCCTCACATGACTGACCACCAAATTAAGAGTAATCTCACTTGGAGATAGTCAGCCACATAATTAAACTGGTCACCCAATGTACCAGAACATGTGAAAAAAAAAGTCTCATCCAATACAAAATAATAAATGAAGTACAATTCAACCTGATACTCTCGTTGTTCAAGAAGTTATCCTATATTCACTCACAGGAGCAAAGACTTTCAGAAGCAGAGTGAAACTCTAACTTGCGTACCAGACTTAAGGTGGATATTTACAGAAGAAATCCCTCCCTCTCCC